GCATAGATACGTGGAATATGTTATGTACCTTCTCTAATTCTGGAGTCAACTTCAATCGATATGCTACAACCCCAATTCTTTCAAGAATTTCAAATGGCCCTATGTGGCGTGGGTTAAATTTCCCTCGACTATGAAATCTGATGATTCCTTTCGAAGGTGAAACTTTCAAAAATACCTCATCTCCCACCTTAAATTCTAATACTTTTCGGCGCTTATCGACATAGCTCTTCTGTATATCCTGATCTGTCTTAAGCCTTTCAGGAATATATTCATCTATCATCCTCTTCATACCAGACCACCAGTGACTTTCTTTCGAAGTTCGATACATGCATCTTCGTGCCCCCCGGTGCATGGCATACGCCGATGAATGAGCCTACTATAAGATAGACTTTCGGAGCTCATCATCCGATGGTACACACACTTGGTCATGAAATAATAGGAGACCATCGCCTCTTTCCCCGAAATCCTTTACTGGTCTCGCTAGCATGCATTCCCGGACATTCTTAAGGTCTTCATCAGTTTCTTGACCTTTTTTATCTCATCAAGTAAGGTAGGTCTCACCTCAAATCTTGCCAATAAGGCACAATCGCTAGATACCTCCAATTCGACTCTCAATGCCCTTATGCTCATTAGCAATGCCCCAGACGAACTCTTTCGACTAAGGTCATCGACTACAATATTCGCCTTACCTGGGCGGTAATCTATCACTAGATGGTAGTTTTTTATCAACTCCATCCACCGTCTCTGTTTCATGTTCAACTCTTTCTGAGTGAACACGTACTTCAAACTCTTGTGATATGTCACAATGTTGAAAACTATATCAATACTTACTTTATTCTTACTTTATCATTTCAATATCAACCACACAAACACACCTTTCTTAATAATCGTACAACCTCCTCATGTCCAGTATTAGTGGGACAGGGGCACATAGGTAGCTTGCTAACATTTAAGCGGGATTGCATTCTTTCTCATAAACAGTTCTTTTAAATATAAGATAGGCCGGCTAAAAATTGAGAGGGATATTATTCTCTCTCATATGTAGTGATTTTATTTATAAGAAGATAAGCCGACTAACAATTGAGCGGATAAATTTTCTCTCTCATATATAGTGTTTTTAGGGATTAGAAGATAAGCTTAGTAACAATTGAGCAGTAAAACGTTCTCTCTCATATGTAGTTCTTTTAAATATATGACAAGTCGGCTATCAATTAGCGCAAGCATATCTCTTTCATATGTAGTACTTTTAGGTATAAGATAAGTCGGCTATCAATTGAGCAAGAGAATTTTCTCTCTTATATGTAGTGGTTTTAGGTACAATATATAAGAAGATAAGCTTAGTAATAATTGAGCGAGAGAAATTTCTCTATCATATGTAGTGATTTTAGGTATTAGAAGATAAGGTTGCTAACAATTGAGCAAGGGAATTGAGCGAAATATTTTTCTCTCTCATATGTAGTGTTTTTAGGTATTAGAAGATAAACTTGCTAACAATTGAGTTGGTGAATTGAGCGGGATAATTTTATTTCTCATATGTAGTACTTTTTAGGTATTAGAAGATAAGTTTGCTAACAATTTAGCGGGATAATTTTCTGTCGTATATGTAGTGCTTTTAAATGTAAGATTAGAAGATAAGTGTGCTAACAATTTAGCCGGATAATTTTCTTTCTTATATGTAGTGCTTTAAGGTATAAGATATATAAGATAACATAAGCCGGCTGAGCGGGAGAATTTTCTTTCTCATATGTAGTGAGTTTTAGGTATACAAAGATAAGCATGCTAATAATTGAGCGGCATAAGTTTCTCTATCATATGTAGTGTTTTTGAGTATTAGAAGAGAAACTCGCTAACAATTGAGGAGTGGAATTGAGGGGAATTGGGTATATTTTCATTACCAAAAGTCTCTATAAATAGGGATAGAGTAGGGTTTACAAGTACGGGCCAATAGATCCATAATACATAATTTACATAGAAAACACATAATACATATTCTATCTAAACGATAGCACACAAAATAGAATTTCCTTCAATAATACAAAATTATTCAGCTCAATTGTTAGGAAGTTTATCTTCCCATACCTAAAAACATGTCATGGACAGCTCAACCCTAATTTTCACTTCCCAAGCGCCGCCGCCTAGCAGATCTCCTTCCGTGGACTTCTTCCCCCAAGGTATACGACCGCATCATGAATCTAATTGTAATCAATCTCGATGGTCGAAAGCGCCACGTTATTGGATTCACCAGCCAGGCGCTTCTCATTGCTCTGAGCAACATTGATTGACCCGGTCTTACACCATCTCGAATATAGCGATGTCAGCTTTGCTGATTGAGAGGCCTACATAGCACATGAGTTTCTCCAGAAGCTCCCCCCCTCCCAGTTACGATGAACAACACTCCAGATCGGATGCCATGTCATCCTCACTCAGGAGCATCAGGCATGGTCATCATGGTCTTGGTGCCAAAGACTGAGAAAATTACCAAATTACGGGAATCTCCCGTCTGACAAGCCAAAATACGGGAGTTCCGTTTAGGTTACCAAATTACGGTAGTCGGAATTAGCAATTTCGACTGGAGGAGAAGTACCGAATTAGGGTTGAAACCCCAGTCGGAATTGGGCAATCCGACTAGAGGTAAGTGCCAATTCAATTAAAAAAACCTAGTCGGAATTGGGGAATCCGACTAGGATATTTTTGATTTTTTTTAAAACAATGGGTTAAAGCGGATAAAATTTATTAAAAACCTAGTCGGAATTGGGAAATCCGACTAGGGTATTTTGATATATTTTTTAAAAAATGACATGTTTAATTGTGGTTCGAACATTTTACCAACCGACTCGTATATTTGGGAGTTTTTTACCAAAAAGCGGGGCTTTTGGTTCTAAATTAATTAATACTCGGTCGGAATTTGGAAATCTGACCAAGAGTTTTGTTTTAATTTTATTGTTTGCACTACGTGTTTTATTTGCATTCCTTTATTCTACCAACTGGATTTATATGGTCACCGCACCCCAATAGCTCCTATAAAATGAGTTCATTTCTTTTCAAAATTTTCACTCCAAAAAATAATCCTTCTTTCTCTCTTGATATATTTATAACATTTTCTGTTTAGGCATTCTCCTCTCATATAAAAATGTCTAGTGAGGGAAATATTGTTGTTATGGTTCATTGGAATGGCTCTACATCTCAAAAAGATGATGAAATAGAGTACTCCATACCTCCTAGGGTGGTACTATTCATTAGTGAAGCAGATGATTATACTACTATACATGAGAATGTTCTAAATCATGTTAGAGGCGACGGATTTTCCGAAATTAAATTAATTTACGGAAAATTGCCAAAATATAAGAATTCTGTATATGTTGCTTCTAGACTATGGCCCATTCACGATGAGCAGACATGGCGTCATTTTTTTCGGATCGCTAAAAATGAGTATGAGGAGTTGCACATTTACGTGGAAGCTTCAGCGACCCCGCCACAAACTTTGACGTTCCACGGAACTCCCAGAGAGGAAGGCCCATCATCCGTATATGGTCGGAGGAACAACCGCCAAACATTTCAGAACTACGAATCTCCTGGTATGTGTTGTTCAAGTTAAATAGAATTTACAATGATTTGGTTTTATTTGTTGTCATTTTAAGAGTGTAGAAGTAGTTAATTTAGTAATTTGTAATTTTTTTAATTTAGATTGTTAAATAGGAATTTCAGAGTAAAAATTGGCTATCTGTCCGTCTCATCTGCACAAATTCAATACTTCTACCTAATTACACAAGAAACACATTCTAGTTCAAATAAATGAAATAACCGGAAGTGGAAGTGGAATTTTAAAAAATTTTAAAATTTTATCTCCTTTCGGAACACCCAAATCCGACGAGAGCACAAAAAGTTTTTATTATTCAAATAAACTTAAATTTTTTATATATCGCATAAAATTTCAAAACTCCTGTCGGAACACCCAAATCCGACCAGAGCACAAAAAGATTTTATACTTCAAATAAACTTAAAAATTTTATATATTCCGATAAATTAAAACCAAAAAATTCAAACCATAATTTTATTTTATTTTAGATAGTGTGTTACAAGGAATTGTGTTCAATTCTAGAAATTCAAGAATTGTGTTAAATTAATAATTTGTCCCAAATAATAATATTGAAATTTATGAATGTATCTACTTTGTACAGTCACAAACTTGGGTGAAGAGTCGGACGACCCAGACTATGAACAAGGTTTTAGTAGTGATGTCGATTCATCCACGAGCGATGATAGTGACGACGTAGTAGACACCACCTGGGCTAATGTGGAGCTAGAAGAACCATATGTTCAAGCAGTAGATTCTGAGCCTGAAAGGATCGAAGTAGGCGCAATTTATTGTTCATATGATGCACTGAAAGAAGCGGTGGCGAGAGAAAACATTCGTCAATTTAGAAATTGTGTTACATTTAGAATTTGAGTTAAAATTCGATTTTATGACGTTACAAGTTGTTACTTTAGTAATTTTTAATTTTTTTGTGTTAGGTTGTGAAATTAGAATTTTAGAGTTCAATTTAGCTATAAAGATCTACAAATTTAAAAATTGTGTTACATTTAGAATTTGTGTTCAATTTCGAATTTAGTAATTTATAACTACTTATTTTAGGAATTTCAAATGGAGCAAAACATTCCGCGCCCAGGGCCTGTTAACCGTTCACTACTCACGTTGCCACTGCGTGCCCATCGTGCGACCGTATATGGTATGAACCAAATTCCAAAGACTCGTGCTTGAAATGCGTCAGTTGCCCTTCAGCTGCATTCGGAGTTGAAGAGCGAGATCCAAGAGTGATAGGTATGTTAGCATATGCTGGCTTCTTGGGGGTAGAGCACATTGCCCGTATGAAGGTAGATCATAGTTTAATATGCGCTTTGGTGGAGAGATGGAGGCCGGAGACACATACTTTCCATCTTCCATTCGGTGAGGTCGGCATTAGTCTACAAGATGTGGCGATGATCCTTGGTTTGTCCATTCGGGGTATGCCCCTCAGTGGTCCAACCGTTAAGGGTAAGGCTCAGTGGATCGACCTGTGCACGCAGTCGTGTGGTTTCACTCCTCTAGAGACTGATATGCGCACGAGTGATATCACCATGAGTGCTCTTACCCGTCACCAGATCCTACCTGACAGTACAGACGAAGAGGTCACCGAACACACCAGAACCCTAATATGGCAATTGCTTGGAGGTCTTTTGTTCCCTGACACGAGTGGGACAAGAATACGATTATACTTTTTGGAGGTCTTGCAGGGTGACTTGGCTTTAGCCCGTCGATGGAGTTGGGGATCAGCGGTTCTCGGGTACCTCTACCATAACTTGTGCAACGGTGCCAAGTGGGAAACCAAACAAGTTGGCGGTTGTATGCACTTGTTACAGATTTGGGCTTGGTCGAGGATTTCGATGGTCCGTCCCTCAGTAGTTCAGGTCATTCAACATGACCATCTTCCATATGGGTGCAGGTATGTTGGCAATTACATCTTAATAATTGAGAATGCGTTATATGACGTTAGAGTTTTTAAATTCATTTCGGTAATAAATAAATGTAGGTGGATCGTCCCCAAGTCATATAAGGGATCCCCAAGACACTGCATACGCCTGTACCGGGATGACCTAGACCGCATGAGTGAGAGTCAGGTAGTACTTGAAATTTTTACTTCCACCGTACTATTCAATTTTTAATACACATTGTTTTATAGTGGTTAAATTGCAAATTAAAATTTTTACAGTTTGATTTCACTCCCTACGCGTCCGAGGAACTCCCACCTATCATCCTTAATGACGCTCCGCTTTGGTCGGCTAGGGTCATGCTCATATTTTGCAATATGGCCGAAATGCATTACCCCGATCGATTTCTTCGGCAGTTCCATATAAGGCAAGATACTCCGGATGCTCCTTTGGCGGGTACTGATCATCACGGCAATCGTTCCAACATAGTAACCGGTGTCTTGGCGTTGTGGGCGGACATACAACATAATATATACTTTCTTGATTATGATCGACATATGTCCGTCGAAGCAACTAAGAGGTACCGAAAATGGTACCAGAAGCATGGTATGACACGTGTCCAGAACCCTTCTCACAATGTGCCCACGACAGGCTACATCCCGACATCACACGATTGGGGTATTGTGGTAAGTTTTTGAATACATACTATATTCATTAACATATATCATGTCATATTATTTACACGTGTTACATTTTTATGCAGAGGCAGGGCTTTTACGAGCTGAATCAGCTCTTAGCCGACCGCGCAAGTCATGAGGACTATCAAAAACGACTACATCGGATGGCCCTGGATGTAGGTGATGAAGAGATGCTCCGCCGGGGCATATTCCATTATGAAGATGAAGATGAAAGTGGAAGTGACGAAGAGGATGATGCAGATGAACATGAAGGTGGGGGTGAGCACTCACAATCGCCCCCTCAATTTTCAACACGTGAGGGTGTCTCATTTGATCAACCACTCCCTCAATTCTCAACGCATCAAGGTGTCTCATTTGATCAACCACTGCCGTATTATGATTCTTATCAGAACTCCACACAAGCGGTTGATTATGTTGATTCATTTCTGGATTCGTCGTCGTTTTACTATGGAGACACAATGGGGCCTTGGAACACTAGCGGTGGGGACGGAGCAGGGCCGAGCACGCAACGTTAGATGTAGTATCATTAAATTTATATTATTGTATGTACTATCTATTTATTAATAAATTACATTGAAACATACATTTGTTTTGTTCACTTTCATTAAATTTACAAATCGCATTTAAAACAAATTCAAATTTGTATCTAATTTTATGAATTTTATTCACAATACAAATGGATTTAAAAAAATAAAAATTAAAAATTATAACTTTAGGCCAATTTAAAAATTAAATTGGTGACTAATTAAAAAAAGAGAAATTCGGCCAATTTAAAAATTTAAACATGAATGAAATTGGCCAATTTAGTTTAAAACTTTAGTTGGAAATTAAAAACTTTAATTTAAAAAATAATAAAAACTTCCTAGTCGGAAGTGGTAGATCCGACATGAGAGAATTTAAAAGTTTAGTTTTAAAAAACTTTGAAAATTAAAAGCGGCCAAAAATTAAAAAAAAAAACCCCTTCGGAATTGGCTAATCAATTGTTTTTCGAAACCCTGATCCCTGGTCGGAAGTTGCAGTTCTGACTCACATATTTTGGTAAACCCTACATAAATCCCCGTTTTTTGGCAAGTATATCCCACTTTTTCCGTATTTTGGTAAAACACCCCCAAAGACTTGGGTTACTCCTTAAAGGGGTGAAGCTCTGCAAGATGGCAAATTAACGACGACGACTCCATCTTCTTTGCCAGATCCCGTCTCTGAAAGTCACCGCCAGGGGCGGATACACATACATCTTAATGGGGGCACTTGCCCCCAATAACCTCTCAATAAATTAGCACACCCATTACAAAAAATTAATAATAGGATGCTTTGCCCCCAATAAAAATATGTCATTGCCCCCAATAAAAATATGTCATTGCCACCAATAAAATGCAAAATTGATCAACCCACATAGTCACATAGCACATCAACATACTCCGTATTAATGTTTTATCATCATTTTCTTTAATTGTAAACTTTAATTTCATACACATGGAATAAAACGTACTTCATCTATTTCTAAATAAATCACTGGTTTATCCACCTAAATTATCTCACATTTTTTACTAAGAAGTAGTATGTGATTAAAAAGTTTGATATGATTATGACTAAAATTAATTCATTTATCACCATGCTCAATAATAATTTACATCAAAATCTAAAAATATTTTATTTATTCATTAAAAAGTTTGATATGATTGAGTATATAGATAGTATGTCATAATTTCGTCTCTATAATGTTATCTTTAAACATCAAACACTTCTCGATGAGGTGGTTTATCCTAACCCCTAATAATTCAATATCATCATTAACAAAATTGTATAATTGTATATTGGTTTTTAGTTCAATATAACTTCTATTTCTACTTGTATTTCATTAACAAATTCATTAGTTTAATTTCTTTTACCATTTCTTATATGATTTCCTAATAACCAAATATGAACTCTTTTCGTCGTTGAAATTTAATTGTAATAATATTCTGCTGAAAAACTCTATTAAAGTCTGCACTCTTATTAATTTACTTTAGGTGAAATTAGGAAAAAATTAATTTGCACATAATTAACAAATAAATAAGAAAAATGAAAAGCGAAAACATACGAAAAATAAATATATATGAAGATATCATCAAATATTTAATACTCCCTCTGTCCCGCTATGATTGTCTCATTTTACCTTTTCGTTCTGTCCCACTAAGATTGTCACATACCTTATTTGGTAAAATTTGTGTGGTTCTAAATCATTCTTACTTTATTCTTACTTTATCAATACAATATAAACCACATAAACCCACTTTTATTAATAACTGTGTCACCTTCTCTTGTCCCAAACTTAGGGGGACGGAGGTAGTACTTTATTAGGAGTTTAAAGTTAAAACCACCCTTTACCAACAGAAAGATAGCCTCTTATAATCATTTTTGATTATTTGTTCCTGAATACCATTTCGAAAATCATAATTTTATATTAAGTTCAAGAAGCTGTACAAAAATATATATATATTAAGTTCAAGAAGAAATGTGTGTAATGGTACTCTTTAGTACACATTCAAAATATATACTCTATACACATTTGTTTATAAATCAAGCCAAAATCTAGCCCCCAATAACCTTTCGGGCTGGATCCGCCACCGGTCACCGCCCGCCGGATCCCGCCTATGCTAGCCATCATCGTTGATCGCCTCACATTTCATATTAATGCGGCAAAAAGCAAGAGTACATACGCTATCCACATGCCTTCTTGTCGACTGTAGCACAAGAGTTGGACGCATATGACCCGAGTTTGACATATCTCACATTAATCCAGTGACGTGAAGGTAAGTTTTTTTTCCTCAGTTTTCTTGCCCTTCATATTTTAGATCCAGGAGTTTATAGTATGATGAAGATATCCAACATTTTTGTTCATATGCTATGCTGTTTTTTTCATTACTTGACATGAAACGTGAATTACTATGTTTTTTTAACCTTTTTCTGCTAGAAATATTCTCATGAAATTGGATTTTTAAAATTCTATGTGCTTGTATATTCTCTTTGGACCTTAGATTAGAGCCATTGTTTTGTGCTTGGTATTGCAGCATTTCTTATAATTTCTCAAGCCATTGCTATTTACGTAATACTTTATGTGTCTGCATTTTCAATGCCTCAATGTTTTACAAGGTCAATCTTGTTTCAGAACTATTTTATTAAACAGGTTCTTTGCTCACATTTTTCTAACCATTAAGTACACTTCTAGTAGTATTACCTCCGTTCTTAAATAAATGCAACACTTTGACTTTTACACTATTCACATGTTCTACATTGACTACGTTTTATTTATTAATAATGTAATAATATTATTTTATGAAAAAAAATATTGTTAAACTTGTCTCATTGTAAATTTTCATAATCTAACTTTTTTAATTTTTTTACTAATACAAAATCATTTATATTAATGGTCAAAGTTGTGTATCGGCGTATCGCCAAGTGTGAAATGTTGACCGTTGCATTTATTTAAGAACGGAGGAAGTATGTTGTAAAAAAACGGATAACTTTTTTTCCCTTCATATTAGCAACGTAAAATTTCTTTGAAAACAAACGATTTCTTGATTATTTTGGTATTACATTTTGCAAATGTATGCCTAATTGTCTATACATTAAATGGTTATGAGTTTTACAAATATATGTTCAACGGTAGATGCCCATATGGCGTATGGTAATTATGTCTTACCATTTTTATTTCTTAATATCTATGGTTATCATTGGCTATATGATCTTTTTTAGTGCTATTAGTGTTATAATACTATGCTTTGATCATTGTTTTTTGGGAGAACTATCAAATAAGCCCTCGAACTTTTATAAAAAGTGCAAATAAGTCCTTTTACGGGAGGCTTTGTCCGACTGTCGCCATTTGGGGCGGTTTCCGGTGGAATTTTTTGATGATTGTTTTTAGCATCGTCTTCATTAAGTCTAGTTTACTCATACCAAATTTCAGCTAAAAATTCAATCGAGAAGGCAGTCAAATGATTTTATGAAATATATTGCACTGTCTAACTGCGCAGTTATCTTCAAACATTCATGTGACTGCCTTCCCGGTTGAATTTTTACCTGAAATTTGGTATGAATAAACTAGACTTAATGAAGAAGATAGTAAAAAAAAAATCATCAAAAAATTCCACCGGTAATAGTGCAAAATGGCGACGGCCAGACAGAGCCTCTTATAAAAGGGCTTATTTGCACTTTTTATGAAAGTTCGAGAGCTTATTTGATAGTTCTCCCTTGTTTTTTTTACTCTGAAACAATCATCAAATTAAGGACTTCATAATGTTTTTGACTATATATATACGCAATTGCATGTATTTTATTCAAATCTTCGGTATGGTTTTGTGGTAAAGAACTATCTCAAGAAATCATCGAATAATATCCTTATCATTATGAATTTTGGTTAAGAAATAAGGCCATTTTTCATTTTGGACGCACCATGATTTTATCATTTATACTT